AATTAAACACAATTCCCTGGTTTATTTAAGTGCAATAAACTAAATATAATTCAAGAAACAACAACTCATCAATCTCAAACAAGAAATAATGGATTAGAGCTTCAAAGAATATATTCAATCATACAAAAGCTTCAACAAAATATATCTTACAAATAAGGATTACAATAAAGATTATATGAAGAATTCATTTGAAGAAGATTCAAGTAAAGAAGTTGTAAAAGAAAGAAATCAAAAGATAAAATATCCTATATACAACGTATATCAAAGAGTTAAATTTCAAAGGAGAATTAATATATGAAGATTATATTGAAGATATAATCAAATTACATGCTTCTATATTACAATGATAATTTACAAATTAAAGCATGAAGATCGAAGAAGAAATCCAAAGAAAGGAAAGAAAGAATACTTAAAGATAAGAAATACCACTAGACGAGTAAAGATGAAACACTTTTGACTAGACGAGTCAAATTAAAAGTGGCAAAGCAATGAATTTCTAAAAAAGACTAGACCAATCAGAACAAGTATGACTACAAAGATCATGAGACATTCTACAATGTAGACTCAATTAGACTCATGGACCAGAAAAGTCAACATTATTAGACAAGGTATGAGACTCATACAAGTGTTAAACTAGTCAACACAAAATCTCATATGAATCAAAGAAAAGTTATTAGACAGTGAAAGTCAACTCAATGCATTAAATATTAAATACAACTATCATACGAATCAAGTTTAGATTATGCAAAAGAAAAATATCAAATCAAAAGGCAATACAAAGATTAGTAATGAATTGATCAATAAAATCAAAACATTTAATTTGTTGATCTCAATCCAGAAAATATCAAGATGATCAACAGGATACCGTAACAAGACTTAGTTTATTAAAGATATTCTCATTGAAGATGATGGAAGAAATATCAAAGATATATGAAGACACGTGTGAAGAAATATTAGGAGAATAGTGATTGATTCATCCAAAGAAGGAAAGATTTATAATATATTTAGTTTATTTAAATTAAAATATTTAATAGACTGAAACAGTCGAAATAAAGAAAAAATCATAAATTATTTATCTTTTATTCATACACAAATGTCTTGGAAAACAAAATATTAAAATCTCATTCATTTTTGAAATTTAAAGTTATAAAATTTATAATGAATTAATCTTAAAATTTAAAATAAAAATAGATATTTGAGTTGGTAATTGAAAGAAAAAAAGAAGATTCATTACATATGAATTAATTCCCTGCCATGGATACCTTTATCAGAGGTATCAAACAGAAATATAGTAATGCAAGAGTGATAACGGCGATACCAAGCAAGGAAGACCCCAGTACCGCATAGGTGGCCGTAGCGAATGCAACAATCATTGCTAATAAGGCGAATAAAGTGAAGTTGAGGGCCAATTCAGAGACATATTGTTCCTTCCAATTGGCTTTGGTGATGAGTGACGTGAAAAGATGTATATGTGCTGCAGTAGTTGCCAGAACCATTGCTATTGTGTTTGATACAATGAATGCTCTGAAAGAGGCTTTTTCTCTCATAATTGGGCTACCCTTATGTTCTCCATCTTGTATGGTACCTCCTGGTAGGGTTATTCCAGCTGCAAAACTCACCGTTGCAATGAGTGTGGCCACTAATATATGAGTCTCTTTTGCTTCCTTCGTAAAAAATGGCTCCGCACTCTTTTCTTCCTCATTCTTTGGCTTTTTATCAAATCGCTCATTTTGTTTATCTCCACCCAAATTGAATTCCTCTGGGTCCTGCACTTAGGTAACGTTGTAGTTAACTGAAGGACCTTGGTTATATCTAAATATCTACTTAGTGCGAAGAATGTTTCAATCTGAAGCGGAGTTAATATTAAAAGTGCTAACTTCTATACCTGTGTCATCAACATTGCATTTGAATCTTCTGTCCTAGCGTACGCAAACTTAGCCGTGACTTTGCGTCTGAAGTTACTGATAATAGGGACAAAAAGCATGAAGCAATTTGGGAGATGAAGGGGTGTGTTTCCGTCAACATCTTTCTCATTGAAAAGATGAACCATGGATTGGTTGCGCGTGATTCTAATAACTGTAAACAGCCTCCCCTTATTCACAGCATAATGAAGAAAATTCTTGCCATTTTTATCAACTAGCTCCGAACAATCTGGACAGCGTTTTAGAATGGTTTCTATAATTTGCCAACTTCCATCAGCAGCAGCGATGTGAAGCGCTGTCATGCCCTCGTTATCTTGCATGTATGCAATGCTCATATTTCGTTCAAGCAGAAACTCGGTCAAAACTTTGTTCCTCTTTTTCACCGCATAATGAAGAGGATTCCGACCTTTCTTATCTGCATGTTTCACCGCCAGTTTCACATGTTCATTCTTTAGAAGTTCTCTTGCCATTTCTGCATGTCATGTGAAATTATTATCATTCCTTTTGTATTAACACTCAAAACCATCGGTTCAATAAATATTCTTCAATTCTTCTTATTCATGATTTATAACCCACCTGTTTGTCACTGATCTGCCCCTATACCCCATCTCGTGTCACTAAAAAAGTTAAATAAAAAAAAAACAACTACCATCTACATTTGAAGAAAAATTCTACAGAAGAAATTAAAGTAAAACATATGAGGTTTCAGATAGTATATTAGTTCTGCAATAAAACGTATGAGAAACTACCATCAAAACTTAAAATGAAAAATAGGAAGGTTTGCTACCTATATCTTGATTAATCACTGCAGCGTGCAATGCTGTTTGATTATTGGGGCCTTGGTAAGCGGGTGATTTGATGTTGGTTAATATCTCACACGCCACTTGTTGATATCGTCCTTTTGATGCAAGATAAAGAGGAGTCTCATCGGCTTTATTTGCATGATAAGAGTAATCAGGATCCATTTTTAACAAGGTCTTCACTACTTGGATGTGATTATAGCGCACAGCCTCGTGTAATGCAGTGTCCTTATCATTATTTGTTGCCCTGATAAACTTTTGTTCTGCTCTAACACCATCCTCGATATCTGATGGAAAAGCATTGACATGTTCAACCAATAATTTTGCGACACTGGAGTGTCCATTCTTTGCAGCAATATGAAGGGGTGTTTCACCCTTGGCGTTAGGCAGTAGAACTAGTCCTCTACACTTGTCAATAATCTGTTTCACGAATTCTTCTGAAACAGCTACCTTGAATGTCAGATCTGGACGCTTTCCCTGAATTGTTTGCAGAAGAAAGGATGCAGGTGAACGGATTCGGATTTTTTGGCTTGTTGTAGAAGTCAAGTGTATATGGAGAATGGTGTTTCTGTTGGGGGTGACCAGAGTCTCCAAATTCTGGACTTTGATGAATTCTTGGAAGTTTCCTTTCACTGCAGCAAAGTATAGAGTTGGATCAATGCGCGTGATATTGTGGTTATTGCCATCGGTGTCTTGCGATGACGCGGAAGAAACTGCTGCTATATGGTTAGTTGCTGCCATTATCTTCTTCACCGTTATTTTTCAACTCTTGGCGTATTTAAGATAAAGGAAGAAGACGACAAATTTACCACAGTGCAATTTTAACATTGTATTACCGAGGAGGAACTTAAAAACTCGGTTTTTCCACGAAAGTAGGTAAATATGTCCTATTTATTACTAAAATGGGTAAATTTTGACCCAAAGTGAAGTCGTGGGCCAAAACGACTTCAAATGAAGAAGTCGTGCCTCCCTGCACGACTTCACACTGTTCATATGTACAGTGTTGAAGTCGTGCACCCCAAAAACAACTTCTGCAGGACTTGAAATGAGTAGGCAGAAAACGTACTGGTAATCGATTACGACATTTCGGTAATCGATTACCAGGTTTGTTGTGTTGCAAGAAGCACTCTGGTAATCGATTACAGGGTTGCTATAATCGATTACCAGTGTGTTTTTGATTGGTTTATGAAAATGATTTTTCATTTTACATATGTTATGTATTGGTTGTGTTATAGGAAAAGAGAAAATAAATATTAATAAGAAATATTAATAGTAATATATCAGTCATCGATTTGATTACAACAACCTTGTAATCGCTTACCAGAATGATTGTTGCACCAAAAACAACCTGGTAATCGATTACCAGTGCGATTTTGCCATACTGATTTGAAGTCGTGCAGGGGGGTCACGATTTCAACACTCTCTAATCGATTACCATTACATTGTAATCGATTACGGTCATCAAAAGTCGTTTTTTGGGTGCACGACTTCACACTGTACATATGAACAGTGTGAAGTCGTGCAGGGGGGCACGACTTCTTCAATTGAAGTCGTTTGGGGGCCCCACGACTTCTCCATTTTCGTAAATTTGGTTGAATTTGCCCATTTTGATAATATTATAGGCAAATATGCCTAGTTTGGTGCAAAAACCTAAAAACTCTTCAGTTTTGAAACCAAATATAACTTTAATATAAACTCTCTCTTTTTCATTAAATTAAATATTTAAAATGTTAAATTTCAATTTAATTCCTTAAATACGATATTATTTACAAATTTTCCAAGTTACTAATATTACAACTTTTCAATTTTTTAATCTGTTTTTTTTTCTTTTATTTTAACTAAATAAAAATAATTAAGACTAATTTATAATGTAAATAACATTAATATTTTATATATTAGAAAACTTAATTTATAGAGAAAATATTATAAAGAAACTTAAATAAAAATTTAATTTATTAAATATTTAATTTGAAAACTATTTAATATAAGGTAATTATAAAGAAATCTAATACAAAATAGAGTTATTGACTTATTCTTCATTTAAATAATTTCTTTTCATAAATAACCTTCGAACCTCCATTTCCCATTTAAATAGTATTTCTCAACGACTTGTGAAGAATTTAAAATTTTTAAGTCGTCTGAGTCGCGAATCCATTACCTGGCTTTGCTCTTTTTCTATTAAATTTTATTAGTTGATTTTATCCAGAATTTGACTTTTACGGATTGATTTAGGTCATATTTATAATCATTTCCTTTTAAACTATTCTCTCAACTGAAATCTTTAAATCAGTTGCAATTTTTTTATAAGATATAAAGCAACATAATTGCAGAAAAGTCAACCCATTTGCTAATGTTTTGGCAAACAATGCAAGGGATATTTTTTGCTAAACTCTTGTTTTTTTTTTTAATTCAATTTGAATTCAAAGTCAATAGTTCTGAAATCTTGTTTTACCTCTCTTTCCATAATTTCTATTTCAGCCATGATTCTCTTCCCAACTGGAATGCAAGACTTTGGCTTTCTTCGTTTTCATAGATGGCACTTATTAACAAAGATAGAATTGCGAGCTAATTTACATTTGTTTGTGTTTGTGGTGATTTATTCGCTAATGAAATCGAAGATTTTGAGATAGGTGAATTTTGAATCATGACACTTTGCCCGGATATGTAAGGATTTAAGAAGAAATGTTTAAACAATTTTTGTTGTGGCTGGAATCGATTTCAAGAACTATATATCTGATTCCAATTCACAACAAAACACAATGGAGATTTATTAGATTCTAGAGAACATGTATTCGATTTCAACGGATATGTAATTGATTTTAAAAATGTATTCGATTTCAGAGAAAAATGTATTTAATTCCAGAAAATATATTTGATTTCAATAGGTTGTATTTGGTTCTATGAGCAGTTGTATTCGATTCTAATAGACTGTATTCGGTTCTTGGAGTAGCTTTATCTTTTCAAATGTACAAAAGGTCCTTCTTCATTTTTTCCACCTTTCAGGTGAGTCCAAATGATATATTAAAAAGGTTATTTTACTTTTTTTAATGGGCTTTCATGATGACCCAAAAATGCATGAAAGTTAGAGCGTTGCTCCTTACACCACCATAGACTTCTCCCAGTACCTTTCCGTTTCTATTTTGTCCTTCAGTAAAATTTAATTTTTAGGGTTAATATTTTTCAACTTCCTCATTAACAACCTATTAATGGTCCCCTATATGAATGCATGCAATGGCAAGCACATAAGCTCTTCTTCCTATTTACCTCTGATGTTTCATTGTTTCATTGTGTTGTGAGAGTGTAATGGATTATGCTGTGGTGGTGGTGGTGTGAGTGTGTTTCGTGGAATGCTTAATGAGAGGTTGCAAAGGTTGGTGGTGGTGCAAGGAACTCATCTAATGGTGTCAGAGGTTAGTCTAGATGGTGGTGCTTGAAGGTGCAGTGGTGAAAGTGGTGAAGGTGCAGTTCAAAGGTTCGTCCTAGGTGCGTAATAAATCCTAAAAAAAAATTACCCTTAAACGGATGTGAGCATCCGTCAGCGGATGTCAACATCCAATGAACGTAAAACGGATGTGGATATCCGTTTTACCTTCAACGGATGTTGACATCTGTTGACCCGTTAAGGGTAATATTTTTTAAACTTTTGTTTTTATTGGTTTATTGCTATTACTTTTATATTATTTTTGAAGATATTTTAACAATGTAATTTACATGTTTTGATGTATTATTTTCTAATATATTTTTGATGTATTTTAATAATGTATTTTCGAAGATCTTATTAGTTTATATTTATACTTTTGTATTTAGCACGTTATATATAATTATTTTATAAATTTAATGTTTTTGTATAATATATTAGTTTATTTTTATTTATGATGATATTTTAATAATGTAGATATATATTTTTTATATATGATTTTGTATTTTTTAATTTTTTAACAATTTTATAATTATATAAAAAATTACTTATTATTTTAATTATATGAAATATATAATTTAGTTATATTAACATTTTTATATTTGTTTGATTAATTATTAATTAATTTTAATGAGACTCATTATAATTTTATATAGACATGTCAATTTGGCCCTCCTTACATGGTTTGGCCCTAACCCACTTGGGTTGGGGCCAAAAAAATCTACAGGGCCAAAAAGTCCCTCGTAGAAAAAGCCCACGGGGCCAAAATATCTTCAAAAGCCTTGTGGGCCATGGCCTTTTTTTTTAGAAAAAATGTTCATTTTCACTACAAAAAAGAAAGGCATTACCAAAGGCCAGAAGCCCTCGAAAACAGCCCAAAACCGTCGGTAAAAGGTAATTACCGAAGGCTTATCGACGGCCAAAGAGCCCTCGGTAATCCCTTGTCGCTAACATTTACCGAGGGCCAAAAGCCTTCGGTAATTACCGAGGGTCAAAAGCCTTCGGTAATTACCGA